ACGCAGGAAGGGAGCAATTAAATTACACGCGCTCCTTCTTAGCCGAGGGCAATTATTATAATTACCAGAAAGTGCAATCAAAAATACAAACGCAAACAAAAATATAACGTAGAAATAGGCAGAAAACGAAATATTCCTTCCTAGCAGCAAGTAATAATTCCAACAGCAGATCTATAAACAAGTATTATGCAGGACACTCACGTGCAGCCGTCTGTCTCTTCTGTTGACTAATCGCTTGACCCAAGTTATGACAGTGACCAAGCAGTTTAAATACTCTACGGTCGCTGTGGCCGCCTTCTAATTAGCACAGCCAATAGTCTATAGCAGGGCAATTCCTCAAATCGAAACTACAGTTCGCACTTAAACGCAGGAAGGGAGCAATTAAATTACACGCGCTCCTTCTTAGCCGAGGGCAATTATTATAATTACCAGAAAGTGCAATCAAAAATACAAACGCAAACAAAAATATAACGTAGAAATAGGCAGAAAACGAAATATTCCTTCCTAGCAGCAAGTAATAATTCCAACAGCAGATCTATAAACAAGTATTATGCAGGACACTCACGTGCAGCCGTCTGTCTCTTCTGTTGACTAATCGCTTGACCGTTGAGAGAACATGGAATCGGTATTTAAGCATTTTGGTATTGACTCGACACTAATTCATGGTGGCTTCACGAGAAGCTTCTATGAGGATTGCAAAAATATAGTTGGTCCCCTCTACTGTGTCAATTGAAAGACTTATGATGTCTGAGAATGTGCACATTTCAGCATTCTGGCCAATTCCTCTTTATCCCCAAACATTTAGTTTTTTTACAAGCCTCCACCTGCCCCCCGTCTGTCACTTCTGTTCAGTAAAATAAATCCTGAAAGCCTCCAGGCCACGAGCACTGGCAGGATGTATTTAGGATTGTGTTTAAAAGGGAATGAAATCAGTGTATCCTCTCCCGATAGCTAATGTAGGAGTTAGTGTATCAGCCCTGGTTTATTTATGTGAGGGTCTGTGGTGCAGATGACGCCCGCGGCTAAACATCAATGAGCCAATGAGGCATACCACTTACGGACAAAAGACATTCACTGTGGACTTTGCCTTTAATAGCTCCTAATATAGCAGCAACTGTAGCATAATAGCCTATATATACAGTTGCATGTATGTACAGTTGTATGTATGTACCTTTTATTTGACAGTAGCATCAAAGAAAATTGCATAAAGTCATCTTCTGTTTATACAGTGTTGTTTTCTCCCATTTTAAAGAAACAGTTGATACATAAACTTATTTATGTTAAATAAATATTACAGAAATGTTATAAACAATAACAAAAATACAACAACAGTATGGAGCTGTATGGAGATATTTTGCAATAAAGAACTCTTTTGATTATTTTTTCACACAAACAAATGATCAGAAAACAACACTGACATGCAAGACAAAAAAATTCTAAACCAAAACCTTTAATGTGCTTGGAAAAAAAGCTTTTAAACCAAGACAGTTTTTTTGTGAAAAACCAAGCTTTGAGGAAAATAATCATTGGTTTTGCTTGCAGAATTTTTCTTGGGATGCACAATAAAGACAAAAAATTAACTCCCTATAACTTTCCATATTTTTGCAATTCCATTTGGCACATTTAAATTTAACTTATATTTACCTGTAAAATTCCATATTGCATACAGGGACAAGTGACACTTAAATGTATGCCACAAAGTAATGTATAGAATTCCTCAAGCCTTTATGCCAGTATAAATGTATTAACTGTGTTTGTGTGTGTGTGATTGTGTCATTCACAGCAAGTGAAGTTAGAGGAATACGGCAGGCCGAAGATAGATGGAGAGCTTAAAGTGTGCTCTATAGTTAACCGAACCAAACAAGACAGGTACGACTGCACATTTATTATGTTTTCATATGCAACAAAAAATGGCCTTTGACATCTTCTGCTACAAACAGATTGTGTTATCTTTTTTTCTGTTTTCTGTACCTAGATACATCTTCTTGTTTGATAAAGTTGTTATTGTTTGCAAGAGGAAAGGCTATAACTACGAGTTAAAAGAGATCATCGAACTTCACTTCTACAAGATGTCCGATGACCCTATGAATAACCGTGACATGAAAAAGGTGAGAGGCCTTTGATCCGCCAGCCATCGGGCTTGTTTCAGAATAAATATACCTGATTATATTGTTTCTTTCAAATTGATTCAGTCAATGATCTTTATGTATTGCGTGTTAACGGTGCAAAGGCAAATGGGACAATCTGATCGTTTGCTTGGTGAACAGCACAGATGGATTGCGTTCATTATACGTTTGTCCTTGAGTGTTAAAGCATGATGCTCATAATTTCAACCAATCAGAGATGATGCACTGCTCTCTTCGGTGCTCTAGCATGTGTATGTAAATGCAGAGAAGCCAATGCATTCTCCATGAATCTAACAATCAGGAATTTTTGCATGTATATGAGAATGCATGTGTAACTGGGTGTCTCTCTCTCTTTCTCTCCTTTTCTCTCTCCGCCTTCAATCTCTTTGCATGCCCACCAGTCGAGTGGAAAAATGGTAAGCTGAATGCTCATGTTCTCTAAGCATTGAGGTGCTGTGATTGTGCCTTTCACTGATCTGTTTTCTGTCATCTCAAGAGTTCCACAGCAGCTTTACACTGCCAGAATGGAATCATCATGTTTACAAATTGACGATTTAAGATTTTCCAAAGGTGTTCTGTAGAATCCACTGAGATGCATGTTTTTTTACTTGACAGGGCATGTTAAAGGGTTAGTTCACCCAAAAATGAAAATTGTCATCATTTACTCACCCTCACGCTAATCCAAACCTGTATGAATTTCTTTCTTTTGTTGAACACAAAAGAAGATATTTTGAAGAATGTTGCCAGTAGCCACTGACTTCCATATAATTTTTTTCCTTACTATGGAAGTCAATGGCTGCATTCTTCAAAATATCCTCTTTTTTGTGTTCAGCAGAAGAAAGAAACTCATACAGGTTTGGAACAACTTGAAAAGAGAATTTTAATTTTTGGGTGACCTATCCCTCTAAAGACCCTATGTCCAAGTCAAATTAGAGTTTTGTGACTTTTAGTCCACATCCGTTAGCTTTGAGGGTCTATGTTAGTGTAGCATTGACAAAATTAAATTCACATTTAGCAAATATACAATACCACGGAAAAGTTTGGGGTAAAAAGTTTTTTGATCCAAATAAATGCTTTCTAGAAATGAGAATGATCCTCTGACTAATGCTGTAGACTAGCATTTAGTAAATTGTTGTTGGCAGCATGACGTAGCTAAAACCTTTTGGCAATTTTCAAAAAGTGGGGACAAGACAAATGCCCCATCCGAACATCCTGTTTCAATAGAAAACACGTCAAGTGAATTCATGTGGCCTTTTGAAAAGCAGCATTTTTAGCATGCGATGCAATGGAAAGGCCAAAGACACGTATACATAGACTAAATTAACAATTAAAAAACACTGTAGATAGTTATGTGAAAAACCCCTAATGCATTTTCAATCCTGCTGCATTCTGTCTATTTCTGTCCACCTCCCCTTCCTCAATCAACCATCTTCTCTCCACCCATAGTGGTCCTATGGCTTCTACCTGATCCATCTGCAGGGGAAACAGGGCTTCCAGTTTTTCTGCAAGACAGAAGACACCAAGCGCAAGTGGATGGAGCAGTTTGAGATGGCCATGTATGTTAGAACCGCATCACTGTCAGAATTACACAGTACTTTGATTTTTTGATTGCTATATAACATTGATTTGATTATTAATCCACACAGGTCAAACATCAAACCCGAAAGAGCCACTGCCAACCAGCACAACTTCCAAATGCACACGTTTGAAAAGAACACCAACTGCAGAGCCTGTAAAATGCTGCTGAGGTGAGGGCTCACACACACAGATGCCACTTCTCTCCGAAATTACAGAGGCAGCGCAATAGACTGAGACGGGCTTCATTCCATGTTACTAGGCTACTGGTCTGACCTCTATTACATGAACTGCTTCACTGATTGGCTGTATTGACTCGTGTGAAATCATAGTGCACTGACCTAAATTTGCCACTCTGCAGCACAGGTCAGTCAGTGTGCACAATGGCTGCTAATTATAACGGCTCTGCATTTCAATCTGTGTGCAAACTGGCCTGGGATTAGTTTGGATGTTGAATGTTGCCGCTGAGTTGTGCTGACATACAGAGTCACATGGGGTGATTGTTGTGGTTGTATTAATGCATGATAGGTTGGCTTCCAAAGCCAAGCATCACTGTTATAGTAGCTCATGCCTAGAATCTGAACAAGCCTCTAAATAATGAGCACACCCTTAGTGCTGTGGACATTATTGATGCCTGAAATTGTGTGGCTTGTTGAATTGTAAGCAATTAAATGCATGATTTTGGATCCACGTTTGGCAAAAAAAAAAAAAAAGTATAGGCTTGCATTAAAGTCAGGACCAGAATATAATAGTCTTTAGATGCTGTGCACATTACAATTGGCTTTCAAATACAGTACCATCTTTAGGACTGACTGTCCGTACTATCAAGTGATCAAATCTGTTTCAGGCAGTGTTATCAATATCTAATGTATCTGTTATAATAATGATGTTAAAGGGTTCATATGATGCTGCTAAAAAGAACATTATTTTGTGTATTTGGTGTAATGAAATGTGTTTATGCGGTTTAAGGTTAAAAAAACACATTATTTTCCACATACTGTACATTATTGTTTCTCCTCTATGCCCCGCCTTTCGGAAACGCGTCGATTTTTACAAAGCTCATCGGTCTGAAAAAGCGAGGTGTGCTGTGATTGGCCAGCTATCCAGTGTGTTATGATTGGCTGAATTCCTCAAGCGTGTGACAGAAATGTTACGTCCCTTACCATATTGTGATGCCTGCGGCAACCACATGTGACGACCCCGGGCTGGACTCCTCTTCGTCCACGGTGAAAGCCGATCCGGCGATCGACAGCGCGAAGTTTAAGTATTTCCTCAGCGACCAGCATGGATCAGCTCCAGGCATGACGAAGCCATATCGTCCTCTTTTGGAAGGCCAAACAAAGTAGTTTCGCTTTCACAACGAAGCACACGGCGCCTTCACGACATGGCGGCGGCGGCGACAATACTACAGTGAGAATAAAAGTTACGCCTTCTTTCTTTGCGTGAACATTTGGTCTGCGTTATGCAAATCTTCCCACATAGCGACGTAGGTATGTGGCGGCGTGTTAGAACGAGCCGTTTTAGGTAGGTGTGGCTGACTCTTAACTTTTATAAAGAATATCTCTTTGGATTTGAGACTTTAGTCTTTGCAACTTTACAGATCTTCTTTATGCACCAAGAGCTTGTAACACTCCAAAGAGAAAGGAAAAATTTTAATCACATCATATGACCCCTTTAAGTGTAAGCGCAAAGCCAACAGTCTTCTTTAGAAAACAGCTTGGAGTCATTATTGACCAAGAGGATGTAAAACTGGAAATTTTGCATGTGTTCTAAATCTCTGACTCGTTCACTATACACTACATAGAGAATGTCACAGTTCACTATATGAAAGACTAAGCGAAAATGAGTAAATGAGTCAAAACAGGCATGTAAACATCAGCATTGTCCATGTCTGAACATAGACATAAAGCAAAAAACAGAGACTTGGCGGAGGGCTCTTTTGATATGGACCAGCTAGCAATAACCCAAAAACACCTCAGCAACGCTTAGCTTAGGAATGCGTTGGCAACTGCTTACTGTACAACACCCTAGCAACGTAGTGCTGAGTTATGCATGGGCAAGCATCATTCAAAACCATAATGAAATCTAGTTGTTTGGATGAATTTGAACTTCAGTAGGACCTCAGGAAATGAAGACATATTGTCATATTATATTGTCATTTTTCATTGGTCATTGCCCTACAGTAGCTGCCTTATGACCCAGACAATTTATCATCAGCATGTGTCTCTCACTCTCCTTCTATCATTCTTTCTTTAGGGGTATTTTCTACCAGGGATACTACTGTTCACGTTGTGGGACCGGCGCCCATAAGGAGTGTCTGGAGGTCATTACCATCTGCAAAATAAGTGAGTCTTTAACAGAAGGCTGCTTCTCAAAGAACCACATGTACATTACATCTGCCCTAATTAAAGAGGTCAGACCACTGACCATGCTCTCTCTCTTTCATTATTATTTCAGGTCCTCATGATTCGGTGAGTTTTTAGTACTAATAAACTTCCATCTCTCAGATAAACTAATAATCCTCTCTCATTGACTTGAACCATACTTTACTTCTTTATTTAATCTTAAAGTTTGTCGTCAACTTTGAAAAACACTTTAGGGATGTCTTAAATGATGCCTGATCTGCTTATATAAAAACTATGTTACACTTTAAAGTGCATTAAATCATAAATTCCCCTCTGTCTTTGACAGGAGCCAGGGCTTCCACAATCAGGTAAAAATATAAAATGTGATTTTTGTCTCCGGCTTCTGTGATCCTAATGTGGTTATGTCAATATGAAAAAATTTAGATACTGCACACAGCTTCAGGCTGTTAAACTGAAATGAACCACATTCAGAGCACATGCGTTAAAGAAATTATACATCAGCTATCTGCTGCCATCTGGTGTATAGTTAACGCATGCAGAAAACGCAGAGTGTGGGTGTGTTCTAAGAATATGAATTATAAGCGTCCATGTACTTTATTCTTTGCACAGTTATAAGCTTTTTTCCCTAATGTGTTCTTAAGGTCCAAAGATGGTGGCCATAAGAAATTACCATGGTACCCCTGCCCCACCAGGCAAGATGCCTCTCTGCTTTCAGACAGGCGAAGTCATTGAGCTCCTGAAGGGAGATCCAGACACATCATGGTGGGAGGTATGATATTATAAAATGATCATTTACCATGTTTACATAGAAAACCTGTTCGGTGGTGCAAAATTTGACCCTTTCCATGTGCCATATGATCGTAAAAGTAGCTGTGGTGAGTAAATTAAATGGAGTAATTGGTCAGTTGGCCCAATTTAGAAATAATAGCATGGTTTTAAATGGTTGAAATTGCAATCCATAAACAGCAGTCACTCTCTGATGTATCACAATCACAAGTTATATTAGAGATACAACCGAATCAGAAATACAGTTCCGTAACAGGTAAGAGATATTTATGAGCAGTAAATTTCTTCAGTTTTATTTTTTTTACATGCTTTGAACTCTGGTCATACTTAATGCAGTTTGTGTAGTATAACCAGATGTCTTGGTTTTGGGGGCTTGCTTTTCTTACTTCATTAATCTTTACCTTTCAATCGTTGCATTTTCGTCTCAGGGCAAACTCATCCAAACCCAAAAGACTGGCTTCTTCCCCAGTTCCAGTGTGAAACCATGTCTAGACCCAAAGGTACAGGTTCATAAAAGTAAATTCAAATCATTTTAACGTACATTTTCTTAAATTATTCCTAATATTTATTTTCTTGGTTACACTTTACTTGAAGGGGTGTGCATAAGACTGACATGACACCTTCATAATCATGACATGACACCTACATAATCATGACATGACACATGTAGGCTGTATATGTATGTATGTACATGTATATGAAGGTTTTTTATGCATGTTTATGACAACTCATTAAGTGTCATTCACTCAGTTATGTAATTTTTAATGCAAAGATGACATTATTTGAGATGTCTTTGTTATGGGCTATGGTTAGGGGTAAGGGTAGGGGTAGGGTTAGGTTAGGGTTAGGTCAAATAATGTCATATTTGCATTAAAAATGACATAACTGAGCGAATGACACTTAATGACAGTTGTCATAAACATGCATAAAACCTCCTTCATATTCATGACGTGTCATGTCATGATTATGAAGGTGTCATGTCAGTCTTATGCACACCCCTTCAAGTAAAGTGTTACCATTTTCTTTCTCCCAAATATATGCATACTAAAATATTAGGCTGTGTTCTTCACTATTAGATATTAAACCAGCCCTTGTTGTCTCAAATCATTTTTTGATGGTTTTCTTCTCTACAGCCTTTCCAGTCTCTTTCTAGCCGTCAGTCCTCCAGAGAGACAGATTACAACGTTTATCCCTGGTATTTCATCCTGTTATAGAACACATTGATTTTTCCATTCTAACCCTTTACATTACCAAGATACTACAAGATTTTGGTTGCTTATAATACACTGTTCACAGTCTCATATTATATTTTAATAATACAATTAACTATACTAATGTCATTTTACCTAGTGAAATTTGCATGGAATTACATGTGTCATAAGTATGATGATGTCAATGATGATGATTGATTAGCTTTAGTCTAATTGTGATGCATGTTGAGCCTTTATTGTCTTTTAATGAGGTAACGACCTCTGTGAGAGTTGCTATAATGATGTACAGGGTATTGAACGGTCTCATGAATGAGGTGTGTTTTCCCTGTGGGCTTCAGGTTTGCAGGAAACATGGAGCGACAGCAGGCCGACAACCTGCTTAAGTCTCATAGCAGCGGCACCTATCTGATCCGAGAGAGGACGGCGGAGGCCGAGAGATTCGCAATCAGCATCAAGTGAGTGTTACAGGGAAGGCATGTATTCATGTCAAGAATAGAACATTCTGTCTGTCTTCTTTTAGTATTTTGTCAATCACCATTGCTATGCACCTTTTAACAGGTTTAATGATGAAGTGAAGCATATTAAAGTTGTTGAGAAAGACAACTGGATTCACATCACAGAGGCAAAGAAGTTTGATAGCCTCCTGGTAAGACAAATATGTTGCAGTTAAAAGCATAATGAGATTTTATTATGCTCGCAGGGTGAAGACTGCACAATTAACTCACTTTACACAATTGACTTGAAGCATCTAAAGTACTGATTTCTTTGCAAGATTTCTTTCTTTCTTTTGCTGATTTCTTTCTTTGATTTTTTTTTTGTGTCTATACATATACACACTACCATTCAAAAACTTAAAGGTCTGTAAGATATTTTTTTGTAAAGAACATTTATTCAGCAAGCAAACATTAATTTGATCAAACATTAGTTTGTAATGTTAGAAAAGTTTTCTGTTTCAAATAAATGCTGTTCTTTTGAACTTTCAATTCATCAAAGAATCCTGGGAAAAAAAACTTTATCATTGTTTCCACAAAAATATTTAGCAGCACAACAGTTTTTAACGTTAATAACAGTAAGAAATGTTTCTTGAGCACTAAATCTGCATATTAGAGAGATTTCTGAAGGATCAAGTGACACTGAAGACTGGAGTAATGGCTGCTGGAAATTTAGCTTTGCAATCATAAAAATAAATTACATTTTGAAAAACATTGAAATAGAATCAGTTCTTTTAAATATTAATGCTATTTCACAATATTTTTTTTACCTTTATTTTAATAAATGCAGCCTTGGTGAGCATAAGTGACTGTACAAAATATTTTAAAAACCTTACTGACCAAACTTCTGAACAGTAATGAATTTGTGTATAAATCAAAATCTAAAAAGAGTGGTAATGTCATTTGAATATGTGAATATTAATTTGTGATTGAACTTCTTGCATTTGTTTTTGTTTTTGTCTGTCTATAGCCATAGGCTGCACAGCTGTGTAATGCTAATTTAGCTCTGATGTTGCGTTTCACTTACACAGAACCACAGCCTAATCTAAACCTATCTAAAACTATAACGTTTTTCCTTGCAAACACTGGTATTTCTTCTAGAAATGCAGTTTCACGATATGTTGATAAAGATGAAAACATCTGGAACATCAAAGTGCTGTAAGTAACTTTAGATATGTTTCTTTGTTACAGGAGCTTGTGGAGTATTATCAGAGTCATTCACTGAAAGAGAGCTTTAAGCTGTTGGACACCACATTACGGTACCCTTACAAATCTAGGGAACGCTCAAGTTCTCGCACCAATACCCGTTCACCAGGTAAACATTTGCTGCCATAATCCTCTGCAGCTTTCTATCACTCTTCCGCTCCCTTTCCCTCTCCCTTTTTTAATTTTTACTCTTCTGCTTTCTTGCTTTTTCTGGCACACATTTTTTTTTATTGAGCCCCCACCAGTCTGGCCAGCAGCCTTCCACAGTCTTTGGACACGCTCTGGAAGTCTGAACAAACAATCCCTGCCAGCTGGTCCCGCCCTCACATTCTGTATGCCCCACCTCCTGGTATTTCAAATGTCAGTCATCTTAGGCTTGGTTGTCAAGGATCCGCCCACTCTGGCTGAGGCTGGGGCCTGACTGAGACTTCTGGCTCCCGCGGCCAGGTTTTGCTCAGCCAGCTGAATAGGTTCCAATAAACAGATGCTTCGTTAGATGTATTATAAATGATGTGCCTTTGTTCGTTTTCCAGTCAAGCTTAACTGGTGTTCACTGATATTTTTATGCAAGTGCGTAAGACAATGTCTGTTTGCGAGGGGCTGAGAATATGCCTTGAAGATCTCCATATGCAACACGAGAGCTGCTTAAAGGAGCCATTCACCCAAATTTTGTCATTCACTCGCACTGATGTTTTCAAACCCATGTGACTTACTTTTTCCATTGAACGGAAAAGGACACTGAATGTTCACTGTTTCATACAATGAAAGTAAATGAAGGCTGATACACATACACTAACGTTCAAAAGTTTGGGAACGGCAATATTTAAAAAAAAAAGTTTTTTAAGTCTCTTTTGCTCATCAAGGCAGCATTTATTTAATCAAATATACTTTAATACTGTGAAATATCATTACAATTTAAAATAACTATATTCTTTTTTATTTATTTTTAAATATAATTTATTTCTGATGCAAAGCTGAATTTTCAGCAGCCATTACTCCGATCTTCAGTGTCACATGATCCTTCAGAAATCATTCTAGTATGCTGATCTGCTACTCAGAAAATGTCGTCTTATCATAAATGTTGAAAACAGTTGTGCTGTTTAATATTTTTGTGGAACCAGTGATACAAATTTTCCAGAAATTTTTTTTTTGATTAATTAAAAGTACAAAAGAACAAAATTTATTTAAAATATACAAGTCTTTAATGATACTTGTGATCAATTTAATGTCCTTGCTAAATAAATGTATTAATCTCTGTAGAAAAAAAACATACTAACCCCAACCTTCTGAAAGATATTGTGTAGTTTACCTAAAGTCCATTTTTTCCTGTTGAAAAAATTAAGTGTTGATTGTGAATGTCAGAATTCTAGTTACTTTTTCACAGAACACAGATACTCTCTCTCTCACACACACACACACACACACACACACACATACAAACACCTTGCTGACTCTGAAACCATGTCCTTGAACCTTTTTTTTTACCCTGTAATTCTCTTGTGCCCTTCCTCTTTTGTTTGTGCTCTCTCTCACTTTCTGTATGTCTGTCTGTCTCTCTCTCTCTCTCTCCCTCTCCCCCATACTGTCTCAGCAGCCACCTGTGCTTCCTACAACTTCTCCTTCCTCAGTCCTCAGGGCCTCAACTTCTCCTCTCAAAGCTCTGCTCCCTTCTGGTCAGGTACTGCGCTTCTTGCTTGTTTGTGCTCTTGCATCATCCATGACGCCTTCCCCAATCCCTCTTCACATTCATCCCTTCATCTTTCCTTCAACATATCTTCCTGTTTGTGTTTTCATCATCATCTCATTAGTGCTCCAGACATTCATAAAGACTAGCATTAGTCACAGGCTTTCATTCATTCACATCTCGCTCACAGTGTCATAAAGTGTCAGTAAATCTGCTGCTCTTCATCATTTTACATGCGCTAATCTTGGGATGTTGCTGGCCTTGTACAGTATTCACACCCAGGGTAGTTAGCACAGCTGTGGCGCGATACAACTTTGCTGCTCGAGACATGAGAGAGCTGTCCCTGCGAGAGGGGGACATCGTCAAGATCTACAGCAAGATTGGTGGAGACCAAGGCTGGTGGAAAGGAGAGGCCAACGGCAGGGTAATAAAGCAAGCAAATTATTTGAAATTAAGCTTCAAATATTACAATATAAGCAATATAAATCGCCATTATTTCCATGTTTTTCATTCAGATTGGATGGTTCCCCTCTACATACGTCGATGAGGAGGGGGTGCAGTGAGACTCTGGGGTCAAAGATCATCCAATAAAATCCGCAGCCCTCTGAGAGGACTCTGATTTCCATGGCAACATCTCATGGAAGTCTTTTTCGCTGGAATTCATTTTACAATGAATATTTGTACTTTTGTCTTCTTTTGTCGTGTACGAATATGCTTTTTTCCCTTTCTCGGAATGTCTGTGTGATCTCTGTGAAGAAAACTGCTCCGAGTCTGTTTCGTTCTCAGCGTTGGGAGGAGGAAACTGTGAAAGAGCAGAACTTTGCCTTGAAGTGGCCAAAGGACAAGCATGGCTTTAAGTTTGTACAGAAATACCTGTAAGGTGCGCTGGGGTATAATGGGGGGTGGGGATGTATAAAATTATATATGAATATAATTTATTAAAGAGATATATCTATGATTAAAATGCAATGTTGAACATTTGTTTAACAGCAGCAGCGCAAAGAATATATTATGAGAGCAGAAAAGATGCACTTTGCATTTCTTTACAGAGAGAATTTGCCTTAGTAAATGGTAATGCCTTTAGAGGTGGCGGTAAAGAGATGGATTCAGACTCATCTTGCACATACACACTCATACATCTGCCCTGTCCAGAAATACGGTGCCTTTTCGTACATGTTCTTCACTCCCAACAGAGTCTCATTTGTATAGCTGCAGCGTTAACGCCCCGTTCTGTAGCGGTGCACTCTCACGGCCCTATCCGCCCGTTCAGCTGGACGCTGCTCAATTAGAAGACCATAAAAGAGACTGAACATTTCTTGAACTGGAATGAGCAGATGACCAGATCTGCTCATCATCTCACTGGAACGAAGAGGCAGCTAACCGAAAGCATTCGGTCATGGCTGGAATTGCTTGGACAATGAAGGATACAAGCACCATTATGTCTTTCTCTTCCTTCAAGAGGATGCAGAAGTACAATGGAGTGTCAGGAGGAGGTTCAGTGAATGCTGTTTCTGTGATTTCTACATTCTCAGTGGTCCAAATTTGGACTAAAAAGGGAATGCTGATTTTTATGAATACCCAGAGGTTTTTGTGAGATTTTTTTGTCGTCTTCTACAAGCACATACATTTTGCCATTCCACGTTTCTTGTCTGCAGCCTGCCACATTACAGTATCTTGCCTTACTGGTGGACACAACTTGGTGCTACATTGAAATCCCTGAGTTTGGGCAGAATTTTTTTTATGCTGTTGTGGACGAGGAAACCCACTGCTGAAGAACCTCAGCCATCAAGTGCACTTTATATGTCCAGAGACCTTTTAACACAGGACACCACACTGCAGATCTGGACATTAAAATTTCATAGTATTTAAAACAATTTTGAAATGTACTTATTTTTACCTCTGGAACGAGAAAAAACAGTAATATCCTTGACACTATGAGCAGCGGTCCCTCAAAGTTGAACATTACCTGTAAACTCCGTAAGTGCATGGATGTGTCCCTCATACAGTCCTTGGAGACAAACCTTTTGCTGTTGCCGGCCATCAGAAATTGAAGCCGTAAATCGAGGTTGGAGAGTGCTAGACTGTAGTAAAGCATCGGACGTGTTTTAGCTGCGCTCCAGGCTTGAGTACAGCTGTCTGCAGTGATGGAGCAGTGCAGCTCAGGTCAGGGTAGCGCTGGCTTTGGGGCTTAGTACCTGTTTGTGTAGTGGACAAAAAACACATTGCATGTGGTCATAGATATTACAACTGCTGTCCGTGAATCCAGAAAAAAGATGTTAAAAAAAACAAAACAAAAAAAAAACAAGAAATTGTGTAAATTTTTTTGAATGGTCAGTTATTTGGAAACTGAGGTCTATCATGAAATAAATATTTCTTTTTTGCCTATTTGAGGTGTCCTGTTATCATGATACTCCGACAGTACTTCTCCGATGGATGTGTTTAGAATCGCCACCAGGTGGAGCAAGTTACTTGCTTTTTTATGACAGAAAGCGCCTGACTTGATTTTGAGATGAATATTTTTCACTTAGCCTGTGAAACAGACTGGTTCTACACTCGGTTACATATCATGGCTTGGATTTAAGGACGTGTGACCATCTGTGCGTGATCTCACATCTGTTCTGCCCATCACTATCAATTCCACCATAATAAATCTGTTCACTGACTAATTAAGCACCTATTGACAGAGGGAGGAAGAAGCATGGCATTTCTTTGTCTTAGTTTCATAAGAATAAAAAGATCTACAGCAAATGCAGCAGAAACGAAGAGCCAATCTTCCTGTGATTAGTCTTATATGAGGATGATCATTAGCATTGGCACATCCAATTAAAAGAGATCTCCTTGAGAACAGCTTGCGTCACGCCCAACTATCTTGCTCTTTTCTAATTACCTCAGCTAGGTTGAGATTGATCAGATGATTTATCAGCTGGTTTGCAGACATGAGATTTCCTTGACACTGATGTGTCTTTATTAAAATGTCCATGGAGAATTTTATGTTGAAATGACTAAAGATCTAGCCATCTTTTTGGAATGGAAAAATGGAATTATGAAAGAAAAAAAGCCAAAAACTAATTTTACATATGAAATACGAGCTCATTTAAATATATAGTAACTATACTTAATAGGCTCATGTAAATGGAGATACAGGGTTCTGTGAATTAAAGCTGTTCACTAACAAAACGGTACCTTTGTACTAACATGTTCGTGGAAATATTGTGTTTGGGACATGTTCTGTTGTATACCATGGCATATCCTGTAGTATTTAGTACCATGGTAAAAACACTGTACCATGTTGCCACAGTACTTTGTTGTTAATGTTAAAACAATGACATCAGATGTGCATGGCTTATTTTTATTTTCTTTCTTTTCATGCACAGATAAAATGCATTCAAAATGTTTGCACTTTTGCCTTAAAGCCATTGCTTTGTGTGAGATCTGGCAATATCACAGGATCAAGGATCTTGTACTTAATCCTTTCTTCAGTTTAAATGTAGGCTACAATTTAACCGCAACCTCAAGGGGTAGTTGTGACAAACTGGTCCACAGTTCATACAGAAACCTTTACAAAATTATTTCAACAGCAAACAGTTTCTCCTCCATTATATCCTCTATGCTATACTCACACTGGTAAGACATGCATAACTGCAAGAGAGGAGTTGCTACAATATATCTGGAACGACTTGTTGAGTGTACATTTTGTGATCTGATGCATAATTTGCCCTGTAGTCAACACAATATATATATGTCACAGACTGTATTGGCAAATATTTTTCTCTAATTTAAGGGAAATGTACATTTATTGCATCTAGACTTAATATAAACGCGCGTGCGCGTGTGTGTGTGTGTAAGAACTTCTTTTCAGTCCGTATTTTGTACTTTAATTGTGGAATATTTGACCAAGAGCACTACATTTAGGCGAGGGCGCTGCTTTTTGCGCACTGTTCGATGACATGAATGTCTCTTTACACTTTAATGTAGAGTTTTGTTAATGCTTTAAATAACTAATATCTATCTATTTTTATCACTGTGCTCAGTCTCCCAATCGTTTTCGCCGCATGTCCTCTTGCGTCCCATGTTTAAGGGATTGACGCGCGTCGCTGAAGCAGGGGAGCTCAGCTCATGCTACTGCTGCTGTCTCACACTCATGGATCATCACATCCAGACAGGTACCGTGGAATGCTGTACCCATCTGAAACCGTGTCAGCATCGCGCTTGTGTTTGTCGGGTAAGTTTTTAAAGTGCTCATTTGCGCCATGATGAACGGAGTGTTAATATGAACCGATGGAAGTCTCGGTTGTTTTCGGGTTTCCATTTTAACCTGCTTTTTGGTTTAATGTGTTTTTGTGTATTATTTTCTGATCATGTGTCTCCAAAGATAAGTTACCGCTTTTAAAAGGTTTGCTATCGATGTAAATGTAGGCGGGGGTTTTTTTGTGTTCTTTTTTACAGGTAATTGCGTTATTCAAACGATTTTTACAATACAAATAACAAGAATAAACCGACATAGTTTACGAATATGCACAAACAAATCAATCAGTGGCTGTGTTTCGAAACCTAGCGAGCTGCGTAGCCTACTTTAAGGACATTCACAGAGGACACGTTCTGTCTGCGTTATTTTTTATTATTATTTTCTATATGCACACGCGTCTCACCATTGTCGCCTCTCGCGTCTTAAGCGTAGCGTTTAAAGTAGGCTAGTTCAACTTTCAAAAACAAGTCTTGAGACTCACGCTGTGTACACTATGTAGGTGTGTCTAGATAGATGATTTTAAAAGCAAGAACACGTCTTGAATGAATTCGTCTCAGACAGCATGTTTGCTTATCATAGGCAAGCCTCAAAATGCTGTCTACTTAGGCTATTCATCCTCATGTCGAAACACAAAAAGATATTTTAAATACATTTTAATTGTTTTGTCCATACAATGAAAGTCACCTAAAAAGCAAATATCTTCTATTGTGTTCCACGGATAAAAGTCAGAGGTATTTTTACTCTTATTATATAAGTCGTATTCTATAAATTAGCTTTAGTCATAGTGTGCAAAGTTTTGGAAAAACTTGAGGGTGAGTAAATGATGACAGATGTGATATTGCTGAGTGAGTGAACTATCCAACCTCCACTAAACCGGTTCTCAACGTGCTGCTAGTGGACCTGACTTATACAGTACCACCGCCAAAACTGAACGTGTTTGGAGATTATGTCAGTTACCGCAGAACAATAGTTATATGATTTGGCATTTTGATGCAGTCCATAACGCTACATTTAATGCCACGCTTTGTCCTTTCCTCACTTTGTTTGCCAATTGCTTTACGTCTATCTTTCTGTTAGTCCCTCTTTCTGAATGTCAGGGCTCCATTACTGATTGCAGTAATTTCCCTGATGATGGTGACAGCAGGGCTGTACATTAACTTTTTTTGCATGTAGCTACAGAGGTTGAAAAGTTTGTAGCACAGGCCACACAATTGTAGCACAAGTATAAAAAGTATGTCACCATAACACCATCTCTGACAACAACCAGTAGTGCAGTTCATTCATCATGTAAACGTGACATTCATGTTGAATACAGTTTGGAAAATGAGAAAAGTATAATTTCTTTTTATATATATAGTATGTATATACTGACAGTTTAGTAGTCTGTGTAAATACATCTACATTGAAATAATGGCTGTAAATTGCTAGTAAATTTCACAAATAATTAACATTGAATTGACCCTTCGTAGGAGATCTGACCAATCATGAAACCGAATTTGCCATTTTTGCCCGACAAACAAACAAACAAACCAGACAGCAGAGTAGACAGTGGACTTGAACTCGAAAAAGAAAAGAAAAAGAATGTACTGACAACATTCTGCAGTTGAAACAAGATACCTTCTGATGTCCATTCATGTTTATTTCATGCTATAACTCGTAAAGTGTAAGAGACGATCGGTTCATGTGCTGCTGCCGCTTGAACTGAGGCGCTACAGCGATCTGTCAAGACACATTAAAGAGCCACAAAACGCATTCATTGTTTGAATTTCTTTTTAAAAAATGACAAAATTTGAAAGCTGAGACCTTTTTGTTTCATACAAAAAGTAACTGGTTCTGTCTTGTATGTTGGCGCATTGTCAGTTTCCTCTTTGTTCCGAGATGTATTTTTCACTGTGTGAGAACATGATGTGTGGCGTGAGAGCGGCATGGCTAATAGTTAATTAGTGTAAGTAATTAAAAGATGTGCTACTTTATGCAGCTTAATTTTTATGAATTGTCATGAGAGGAGTGCTCTTTGTTTGCTTGTATTTACATATCGCAATATGCACAAAACAGCTCTCATTAAAGCTTCAGTGTATATGACAGGGAGCGATTTTTTCGTAGCATATATATATATATACATGGGCGACATTGGAGGGGGGGGGGGATTGTTAGTCATGGAATCCCTGATGTCGGCCCCGCTGCATTTGGAGGCTTAGCCAAGCGCTAAATACCCTCAACATGTTTTTGCAGCGTTGAGCAATGTAACCAATCACAGACATATCTGTTGATTTCTTAAACGCAATAGCCAATCAGAAACGTTTTGTCAGAATTCACTCACCGCTGAAAGCGCCGCAGTTTTTAAGTGCAGTTTTGCAAGCTTGTGAATCATCTCATGACTAAGTGCAGACGCGATGTAAATAAGAGATTCATTGTGCAGTTTAGAGAGCTTCATTGATTATAACAGAACTTTGTAAGATCGCGATGAAAGAAGATGAGTGATGCTTTTTACTTTTACTTTCAATACTTAAGTACGTTTAATTGGGTGGGGGGGGGGGGCAATTGTTAGTAATGGAATCCCTGATGTCGGCCCGCTGCAATTGGAGCTCGCTAAATACCGTGTTTTTGCAGAGTTGAGCAATGTAACCAATCACAGATATCTTGATTTCTTGAACGCAATGGCCAATCAGAAACGTTTTGTCAGAATTCACTCACCGCTGAAAGCGCCGCAATTTTTAAGTGCAGTTTTGCACGCTCGTGAATCATCTCATGACTAAGTGCAGATGCGATATAAATAACAGATTAATTGTGCAGTTTAGAGAGCTTCACAGATTATAACGGAACTTTGCAAGATCGCGATGAACAAAGATGAGTGACGCTTTTTGGTGATAAAGGGAGCGCGCTTTGCGCATTTTCTAGGGTATAATCCATTCAGAATTTGTATGAAACTTTCGTTTTTCGGGCACATAGGCTACACCCTGCAAAGTTTCGGGAATGACATCCGCATATTTATGCGGGATTCACTCTCGAAATAGCAGTGATTGGCAATGGAC